GAATAAGGAAAGACCTCTTAACTCTGACGAGATTAAAAAAAATATAAATGAGCTGAAGGCCAAACTCAAGAAAAATATAACGACGCCGATTAACCAGCATCTATACTTTGGTATAGATAATGTGAATATTTCTGAATTATCATGAATGAACCCTCTAGCCAGTCAAGTAATTTCTGACGAGTCGGAAATTGTAAAGAAGTTGCCGGGCTAATTTAAGTATACTTTTATGAAGCCAGTACGACAAATGGTACCTTTATCTCTTCCGTCCACAGTGAAAAGAAAATGTAATGAATTCGTTGCTACTTTTATTGAGAATCGTGAAATTGATCTTCCAAGAAAACTTATACATAATGGGACATAAGAAACAGAAAACGAGCTTGCAATAATCACGGAGAGAATTTTGGATACATTGTAAGTATTTTTTAACAATATTTTGTGATTTTCCACTCTCTGCTCACTGCTTATGTCTTGTCATTAATACTAGAAGCGATTCTTGGAATAATCCTGCATTTGGAGCGAATTTTGTGGAATCCTTGAATGAAGGTACTTACGTGACCAATGTGATAGTACCAGCTATTCAGGCAACATTAAAGAATCTTCTTCTAGGAAAATCCACATTCATTAGTAGCTCCGAACGTCAAAGTAGTGCCAGTGCTGATAGGAAAGGCGATGGGCGATCTGGGAGACGGCCAGATGTTATGATCATAATGAAACACAATGAGAAAAATTACGAACTTTTATTTACCGAATGCTCATGCTTATCATGTACAGCGCAAAAGGAGAGAGATGATCAAGTGAAGCTGTGGCGCGAGGTCAAAGATGGGATGTACTGGACTCGTAAAAGTTGCAAACCTGATAAGGACGAATTTGGGATTATTGGGATACAGATAGCTGGAAAGAAATTATATTTAAGTGTTCTTATAAGGGATATGAGCGAGGTCCATCGATATTATCATCTCCATGAATCAGAAATCCCAGTTCAACTTTCAGATCCATCAATTGT